CCTACCCTGGGGTGGGATGGGTGGGTTTACCGGGCCCGCAGTAATTGGTGCAAGCTGTTGCGGTGTCCCTGCCGGTTGGCAAAGCTAAATAAATAAATCAATCAATAAATCTACCTTCATTTTATTCTCTTTCTCTTATCTTTAATATAAACCCTGTAAAAGTCATTTTTAGTGTGAAATAAAGAATTGGAATTGGAATTGGTAAGCAGTTCAAAAACAGTTTGCTTTCGACCAACATTACGAGTGGATGGTTAAGCTTTTAAACTGATAGGAAGTGGACAATGAATAAGGATAAGCTCTCCATTTGATTTTTTCCTTTAGCTTATTTTAATTTTTGTGTTGCTAAAGGTACACTGCAGACGGGTGCCTGGAATAATTTGTTAGTGACCTTACTAGGACTGAAAGATTTGGTGTCTTTTTGGAATGTTCACTGAAATAGTGGATGGCAAAGAATGATGATCAGGGCTCCACACTAACTTTTCAACTTACTAGCCAAGTGGCAAGTGACAGCTCAAATGTTACAACAATTTCAGTTTGTTTACCAACCAAACTGGCAAGTGGAAATCGAAAACCACTAGTTAAAACTGAATTTCTACTAGTCTGTGGCTAGTTGGCTACGGTTAGGGTTGAGCCCTGATGATGTCAGGCACATTAAACTTTGAAATTTCAAGAGAGCATGTATGAGTGTTCACATATTTCTGAAATAACCCTATACTGACTATGAAATTTTCCGGCTATGAAGTAGCATGAAGAACCATAAATCTCTGGATTGAGATTTCCCTCAACTTATTTTTCAAACTTCTCATTATTTTTATTGTAACAGATGAATGGCCAGGCTGTAGGAGCTCAGAGGCTTCCAGTTGCCATGGAAACTTTGGATGAACCACTATATGTCAATGCAAAGCAGTACCATAGAATAATAAAAAGACGGCAAGCAAGAGCAAAGCTTGAAGCTGAAGGAAAAATACCCAAAACTCGAAAGGTTAGATTGATCTAGGTCTGTTGCTGAATTACCCTGTGAGCTATCAAAATAAAAAAATTGTAGTTAATTTGAAAGAACTTTACAATTGAATGTGGTATCTTTAGGACCACAAATAAACTGTAAACTAAGATAAAAAGCAGTGTTATGTTATTTATCTTCAAGAGTTACATGTATTTGTTAGAAATATCTCCATGAGTCAAGACATCAGCATGCATGCCGAAGACGTCGCAGCAATGGTGGTAGATTTATAACAAAAACAAATGAGGATGGCACGATCGTTCAAGAGGAGGACAATGGAGAAAATCAGGTTTTCCAGGAAGGGATGGTTCCAACACAGGAGCACGGTGCCCAAGAACATGCATACAGTAATGTTGTTCCTGCTCCTGAATCAAACAGAGTACAGATGACTGCCCAAGGCCCTGAGCAAACAGAATAAGGTGATTATTCCATATAAACTTTAATTTTTCCTTCTCAGAATCATGTCATCAATTATCCTTGAGGAAACTGTTTTCACATTTCTTATTGCAAAAACAAAGAAGAATAGTACAAGAAGTAAGTGAAAAAAGAACTCATATTGACTGCATGGTGATATACATTGTATTTTATAGGACCTCTTTAGCTAGTATGTTTTGTTTACCCATTTTTAGGCACATTAAATGTAACTGGTAATGTAATGACAACCTTCCTGCCATTTTGACTCAACTGTGAAAATTATTTTTTTGTTTTCTTTTTACAGATGTTGTTTTCTTTCACTGTACAGAGTACCAGATGCTAGTTTTATGGTTGATTTGATGTACAGTTGAGTGTCATTTAAGAGACCCTGATTTTTCAGGAATGTAAATACGCTTAAGCCTGTAGCTATCAGTTGATATATAATGTAAGACTTAAAACATCATTAAGTATGAACTAAACTCAGCTTAAAGTTAGACAGGAGTGGTTACTGATGTCAATAAGTTCTTTAAGGTGTGAATAAACCTGCAACCTTTCAACCCCCCGAGGCGAATGACTTGTAATTTTTCTTTACAATATCAATACACTGCAAGCAGGTGACAAAAGTGGGAAGATAGATATAATTGTTGCACTTTGCAGCAACTGTGTCACTAACAGCAAATGGGGTAGGTAAAACCATGTCAAATAGGGTAGATAAAAGCCTGTTTAAAATATCCTGGCTTATAGTAAAATGTAGAACAATACCCTTAGTGTGTAAAAAGAAACAGAATACACGTGAAATTTAGTTCATCAAGTCCACCAAAATCATTATCAAATAAATATCACATGGCTCTCCAAGCACGGATTTTTGTGTTGTCCTTTCTAATTAATTACCTGTTAGTTCTCTGTGTTCCTACTTAACTTTTCTTTCTTTTGTGACAGCTTTTAAGAGATGAGCATCCTATACATCAGGGCCCAGTTGTACGATGGGCAGATAATGCTGTCCAATGTGTAAATTGCTATCCAACGGATAAATTGCTATCGGATGGATAAGTGATAGCAAAACGTATAGCATCATCCACCAGATATAGTTTTATCCGATGGATAGCACTATCCCACCTTAGAACAACTGGGGCCTGATACTGTAATGTTCAACCTTTACACTCTGACATCAGCCCGCATATTCTCCAAACTGCTCTCGAAACATTTCTTAATAAAACTAACAAGGTGAGTATGGTTTAAAAATGAAGCGCCTCTTCAGTTAGTGGTCGTTTTCTTTATTCTCAAGTTCTATGTTTCATTCTGCAGTACTACTTTCAGGAGAAATGAAACAAAAGTCACTTGTGCTAACCGTTTACACCCTAATGTCAGTATGCATATTCTCCATACTGTTCTCTATACATTTCCTAAGGTGCTGACAGGAAGAAGTTGTTTAGCAATCAAGAGCTTCTTTAGTTGGTGATCATTTCATTTCTTGCAATCTTTATGTTTGATTCAGGGGTGATGTAGTAAGAAGTTAGATGCCAGGCACTTAGGGATGGGTTAAGTATTCACAAGAGGAATCATGGAAAGGCAGGACTCCACTTTTTACTGTTACTAGTTTCCGTTTTAACAAATTTCATTTGAAATAACAGAAATGATTGCTGCTCAGGCAACCATAATTATACCAGTTATCCTTATGCAGAAGAAAAACTTTTCTGAAAGAAAACTAGCTTCTTAAAGACTTTGTGGTCTACATATGGTGCACGATCCTCGCAGTAGATACTTTGTAGTCTGTAGATAGTAGATACTTTGTAGTCTCTTCGTAGTCCTTGCAGTAGACACTTTGTAGTCTGTTATTCGATGAGAGAGTTGCATGCTTAGTAGTCTTGTGACTATAGTTTAAAGAAACACTTTTAAATTTCTTCAGTCTGTATGTTAGATGTATCTATTGTCAGCTAGCAGATGGAAACATTTAGTGGTCATGTTGTCTAGCACATGTTAAGCTCACAATTAACTGAGATAAATAAAAAAGTTGGCAAGAAAAAAAAAAAACCAGGGTGTGGAAAAAAAGTGAGAAAAACTTGAGATGTAAGAGTTTTTAAAGGCACGCAAGCTCCTGATCTACTTGATTGGCAAGAGGTTTATTTAAGCATGTATTTTAGTGCAACAACTGGTTTTTCCTTTTGCAAGTGGGCTGGATGAAGAAGCCATTTCCAAATCAGATCCTGGCTTTTTTTCTTGCCCTCTTTTTAAGTTGGCTGCAGTTACTAAGATAAAGGGGTCACTTTTTTTTAAGAAAATTGTAGTGCTGTATTGGTGGGTAGTTTACAAGATAATTTTGTTTTACCAACTGAATTTCTAAAATGTAAATTTGCCATGGTAGAGAGTTTCTAGAACTGACATTTCAAGTGTTAGCTCTTCCTCTATTCATTCTGACAAGGGGCTAATGCACAAAATGCCAGCTTCAAGAACTATCTGCAGTGGCCAATTTCATAATAAACCCACATGATAAAGCAAAATTATGCAGTCGCCAAGAGCCTGACTACAGCTATCTGTTGTGAAGTTGCATCATAGATTTAAGCGATGATCAGGTAATTCGACTTGAAGTTCATGATACGATAAGTAAATTTATATTTTATGTAAGTAGCGTATTAACCTATTTATTTTCCAGGAAGAAACCATTATTGACTATTTCAGTCAAGTCCTCTAAAATGGATTGTATGTTTAATTTTAAGTCAGGATGTTGACAATTATATATGACTGAAAATAAAGTTATATCTGTCTTTGCTTTGTTTGATCCATCGATAGTTTTGAACAGACTGTCTCTCTTGTTGTTTCATGTCTTTTTTTAATCAGTATTTTTTTTTCATCCTGTAGATTGTCTGTTGTAGTACTGTCTATTTTCCAAGTTTATCAAAAAAAAAAAACACCAAAGATGAGATCGGAAGGATTATTTGACTTCTATTTAGTCAGAAACAGCAAATCTTTAGGGTGCCCTTCAATTAAGAAAATTATCATAATTGGATTTTGGCACATGCAATCTTTAGCAGGGTGCATTTTGTTGTTTTGGGATATGTTGGAATTTGGAGTGAAGGCTTTGCTAAGGAAGGGAAATCGGAATATGAGTGAAAAAAAGGATTCAGTTGGTCTACTCTTGACCAATATTTCAATCCATGACTCCAATATCTTGTTAACTATGACCTTTCACCAAAGAACTTTGGAACATTAACCGCCACCCAGTTAGCTCAATGGATAGAGCGCTGGACTGCTGTGCAGGAGGTCGATGGTTTGAGCCCTGGCCGGACCAACACTCGAGGTCTTAAAACGAGTGAGAAGAATATGCTACTTTTCTATATCAAGAAATGGTTAGATACTCTAGTCTTCCCGGATAGGGATGAATAAATGGAGGTCCTGTCTCCTGCAGGGTTAGGGGTAGGAGACGTCAATTTCCCACGCACGAGATTACTGTGTGATGGATGTCCTCCCCTGGGGTGGGAATTGGCCCTGAAAAGCCCCTATGGGGAGTGGTCAATCAACGTATGTATGTATGTAACATTTTACCGTGTTTCCTAGTCCTCCAGTCAAACAACTATTGACTCCACTGCCTGATTTATAATCAAATGGGGTCAAAATTAAGATTGAAACATGCCCATTCTCTTACACTCCCAAGTATTTACCTAGGGGGTTAACAAAAACTTTTTGACCAACATTGACAGATGTGGAGGGTACTGCAGAGAGAGTTGTAGGACTGGACTATGGCTTTAGTCACTGACAGTCTCATTAAGCCCCAGAAAGCAGCCTTCTAATCATATTTAACATGTACAAGTGCAAAATTAATGATCTCACCCCACCTGGATGAAGAGGCTTATTAGCATTGGTACCCATATAATGTGACATATATGACTTACATATATATAGAAAACTCCATCCAAAATGGCGGCCGCTTTGTTGTCCCTAAAATCAAAACGACAACAAGAGTATCTCGCTTAATTTAAGAGTGCTTCGTCGCTTAACCAGGTGTTGATCAGTTTTGGAGATCAGAAGTAAAATGAGGTGAGGAAGGTTTTCAACAGTGATAAGTCTCGCGAATTTTACAAGCAATGAAGATGGCAGTTGCTGCAACCATCTCCGGAAGCTGACATCATTTAGTTAAATTGCTAGCATTGACCTCAAAGCGCGTTGTGACATTTAACACCAGTCGCTGGGTTGTTTTGGGTGGGAATTTGTTTGAATTTTTCTCGTGGATATGTGAGGATTTTGCTGAGATTGCGAGTAATATAAAGAGTAACATAAAGAGCAATGCGATCGATCATTATGAATGATTGACTGGGTTGAATGAAAACTTTTAATTAATTATTTACTTAAGGTATCCATCATCCCTAGGCGGTGCTCTCCCAAGGAGTCGTGCACTCCAACTACGATTAATGAAATAGCACTATAACTATCATTACTTAATAAAGAGTTAATTTGACTAACACATTTACATATATATTTACAATAGATCCTATTCACTTCATTATTGAATGAAAATTGTTTAAACTAGTGACCTGCTCAGCCTCGTTTGACAGACTGTCCCAGGTTAAAGAGCATCTCTGTGCTGAAACTTTTTGAAGGGTGGCAGTCTTTGGTCTTGGAATGAGTAGATGTGAGCCACATGGCTTGACCTCTTGAGATAATATTATACTGTTAGACTAGGAAATTATTTTCCTTTTACTGGTCATTGGAGGAACAATCAGGCTCCAAAATTATAAGGAGAGATAATTTTTTAAGAAATTGTATCTGTAGCTTTCAATGAAATACTTAAATCTACTTTCTAGAAAAATGAGAGGTTAGTATGTCTAATGGTGTGCCACTTTAATGGACGGTACAGATCAGCCATTGAGCTAAAATTCCTGGAGCAAGTAGAGGAAGAAATAACAACATTTTGGAACTCTTGTGGAGATAACGCTGTTCTTGTTTTTCCTCCATTGGATCCTCACTATCGCTTCCTCCTTCATCAGCTTATAGGAGAAAGTTCCAGACTTCAGACAGTGTCAGTTGGGCAAGGAAGACAGAGAAGGACTGTAGTTTACTTCACTTCTGAAAGGTATTCTCAATGTTCTCCTTTTCAGATGGTAACTAACCCGGCCCTTTACCCCTAATTATAACATAACCAAAGTTAAGCGCGCGCTCTGATTGGTCAATTTAGCATCCCTCATTTGCCCATAGGTGTACGCTGCTGACGTGAGCAAATGCAAAGACTATTTTTCCACGCGTGCTTGTTTTTTCTGGTCACGTAAGATTTGTTAAATAAAAGGG